TGGCTTATTAATTGTTCCTTTGTGTAAGCCACTTGCAGGCATTCACCGCAGCCGGGCCGTTGAGGGGGTCTGCTGCAGCACTCATGAGGTTGTATCTTTTAATGCAAAAGCATCCGTTTCACGATCCCGTGATCTTGCAGGTACATTGTGGATCCCAAGAAGAAGGAGATGGTTAGTGTGAAGCCCCCTTTCCTGAGGCCGGATCTAAAGGAGCGACAGATCACCGTCAAAATAAGTGACAACGGTGTTCAAGCCAACCTCAACCAGAACAAGGTGAAGCCTTCCCTATGAGCTATCTTCTACGCTGGATCCGCCCGTATAGAGATTTGTTTCCATATTTTCCTGATGAAAGATTTCCATAAAACTTTCCTACATTGGGGTGAATTCATAAAACATGCTATTTAAGCCTTAGGGGTTAGTTAACTTGTACTAGCTGGGTTTGTCAGGGGGCGTAGTGGCTCAGTGGCTAAGATGCTGAGCTTGTCGATCAGAAAGGTCAGCAGTTTGGTGGTTCAAATCCCTACCGCTGCCTAACGGAGTGAGCTCCCGTTCCTTGTCTCAGCTTCTGCCAACCTGGCAGTTTGAAAGCATGTAAAAAATGCAAGTAGAAAAATAGGGACCCCTTTGGTGGGAAGGGAACAGCGTTCTGTGCGCCTTCGGCATTTAGTCCTGCCGGCCACATGACCACGGAGGCGTCTTCAGACAGCGCTGGCTCTTCGGCTTTGTAACGGAGATGAGCACTGACCCCTAGAGCCAGAAACGAGTAGCACGGATGTGCAAGGGGAACCATTAGCTTTACCTTTGGCTGGGTTTGTACAACATGTTGAGCCAAAGCCAGACAAGCTAAATTATGGTCTAGCATGATAGCTGAATCCGAGTCAATCCAGGCTGAAATCAAAGCTAGTCATTTGTTTCAGGTTTCCATCGCTGCAAAGCAAAAATTCTAGGTGCCGGATTTGTGTAATTATTTGCATTTGTTTGTTTGTATCCTGCCTTTATTGTTTTTATAAATAACTCAAGGTGGCCGACATACATAGCACTCCTTCCTCCTCCTATGTTCCCCACAACAATAACCCTGTGAGGTCAGGTGGGTTCAAAGAGAGGGATTGGCCCCAAGTCATCTAGCCAGCTTTTATGGCTAAGGCGGAACTAGAACTCCCAGTCTCCTGATGATTGGCCCAAAGTTATCCAGTCAGCTTTCATGCCTAAGGCAGGACTAGAACTCCCAGTCTCCTGGTGATTGGCCCAAAGTTATCCAGTCAGCTTTCATGCCTAAGGCGGGACTAGAACTCCCAGTCTCCTGATGATTGGCTCAAAGTCACCCAGCTGCCTTTCATACTTAAGGCGGGACTGGAATTCCCAGTCTACCGGTGATTGGCTCAAAGTCACCCAACTGTCTTTCATACCTAAGGGGGGACTAAAACTCCCAGTCTCCTAGTGATTGGCCTGAAGACACCCACCTGGCTTTCATCGCTAAGGCAGGATTAGAACTCATGGTCTGGTTTCTAGCCTGATGCCTTACCCACTAGAGCAAACTGGCTCCTAGCAAAGCTTCTTAGACTTCACGAAACAGTGATTTGTTGAACCATGGTTTGCTGAACAAGCCTCAACGGGATGAGTTCAGGCAACACATTAGGCCATAAACCAGAATGAGCAAATCAACAGTAGTTGTTTTCATACTCTGGCTAAACTCAAACGGAACCAAGAATGCTGCAGTTCAACACAATGGGTGAAGACCACTGTTGTCCTGTACAGTTTATAGAGACATCTGGGGAGGGGGAGAAAATGCATGATTTTAAGAGTTAGAATAAACTACTCCGCAACGCTTAACTTTGTTTTGTGATTTTTTTTTTCCAGTCTAAAATTAGCCTTGAAGGGCTGGACGAAAATACCATGGATATACAGCCTCCACTTCCACCCAAGGGGGATTCCAGTAAATACAGTGAACTGGGAAGCAATGAAGGTACAAGATTTGATATTATCTTTTTTTAAATCAAGTGAATTTCTCTCTTTTAATTTCTCTCTGTGTGAATTTCCCTATTTTTCAAGTGAACTTCTGTGAATTTCTCTCTTTTAACTTCTCTCTGTGTGAATTTCCCTATTTTTCTTTTTTTCTTTTTCTTGCACTGAAGGTGAGTTGTTGTTTTTTTTAAAATCAAGTGAACGTGTGGATTTCTCTCTTTTAAAATGGTGCAAAATTTATGATTGGTTGAGCCCGTAGATGCAGAAACTATTGGATTCATAGAAACTAAGGCATAGTTTGTTTAACTACAGTTTACTGGCCAAGCCATCATTGACTGGGTCCGTATAATACCTTAAGCCATAAGCTAAGATTTGAAAAATGTGGTAGCTGGATTTACGTAGTTTGCTAAGTTGTAAATAAGCAAACAATATTAAGGGTTATGTGAAACTCAATCATGTTTTGGGCCTGTCATAAGCAATGGCTTGTTGTTGTTTTTTTTCAGAGACCAGCCTTTCTCCCAAACTGATCAGCCCTCCTACACCTGCCATGTACAAATATCGCCCTGCTTTCAGCCACAACTCTAAAGTCCATTATCATGGAACATCTGAGCAGGTAAGATGGCATGGTTGTGGGTTGAATCTTAGGTTTGACCGAATGAAACAAAATGGCCAATTTTAAATATTTTCTGTCTATGTAATTGCCTCTTCCTTCGGTCAAAATAAAAATTACAGTGGAATGATAGCAGGTCGAACAGTGTTTCTCAACCAGATCTTTACATAACGTGTCTGAAAGGGATGTTGTGCTGTGCTTATGCTATGCTATGCTATGGTTATTACCAGGGGTGGGATTCAACCGGTGTAACAACTAGTTCGGTGAGTGTGCACCTTTTTTCAGCTCTAATACTTACCTTCTACTGCAGCCCTTGTGAATAAAACAGCTGAGGCCAGGGGGAATCAGCTGAACTGCACAACGGGGAAATAAAAGAGATACTAGGGCAGGGGCAGGTGGCGGGGCCAAATGATAATCAGAAATACCGGTTCGCCCAAACCGGTCCGAACCGGTAGAATCCCTCCCCTGGTTATTACTCCTTTTCCTCTCCAGTAATTTCCTCTCCAGCCTTTAATCATTGTTCTTTGTCCCTTTGAACAATGAGGCCACAGCACCAATGAAAAGGCCATTTTAAGAAAGCTGTGTAATGGTTCATAAATCCTTTTTCAGGGATTTTGTTCCTTGGATGTGTGTGTGTGTGTATATGTGTGTGTGTGTGTGTGTGTGTGAGAGA